AAGGGGGAGCAGTGCAGCAGCTTGCAAAACTGAAACTGCATTCCATAAATGTTTTCAAAGATAGTAACTAGGTGACTGAAATTTCTGCCGCGCAAAATTCTAACTGGAGAGCATAATTGATGACTCTGGGCTATGGATGTGTCCCATTGGAGAGTATGAATTACAATACACTCAGGGATGGGGTGGCGGGGGGAACCAGGGTCAAGGGTGACAATGAATTATGTGCCTCAGAGTCGGCTACATCCAGGCAGTGCTGACATGTTAACTCCTAAATAAATCATTTTGAAATTTTGGAAGTTGGGCTCAAGACTCATAATTTAAATGGGGGGAACTGCCAGAATCCTGACAACAGCTTTGTTCTAATCCAACAAGGCCATTTTTAGAACACGGATTACAGTACCTCTCACCTTGCTGGCTAGGGACGATGGGATTGTATTATGTTGGGTTTGCAAAGCAAGCTTCATTATTGGTCATGAGCTCAGTTATTTGTAGGGGCTTCTGTTGTGCACAAACTTACCTCCTTCTTTTTGTTGGGTGACAGCAATGTCCCATCAAGCAGAGGAACAAGAGGCATCTGGAGGACGACTACATGAAGGTGGTCTCCTACGGACCCATTGTGTTTGCAGCTCCCTCACACTTGGAAACCCGGAACGCCAATGGCCAGCCGTCCTTCTCAGGTATGGCCTCGTCTTTGGTTTGAGTCCCCCAGGAGGAGGGGGCAGTTGTGATTCCAGTTGAGCTTTTGGACACTCAATGCGCTGAGGTGGCCACTTGTTTGCAGCCCCCTGGGGTTAGAGAGAAGGAGTAGCATATCTGCTGCCTTCCTCTTTGAAAGTGTTTTTATTTTTAATGCCCCCTGAATTATCCCACCCAAAATATAAACTGAAAAAAATATCAGCATCCTCACCCATATCTCCAGTGGATCTGAAAAATCAATTTTTAAAAAAGGAGCATAGGATTGTTTTCATAAATTATCTAAGCCATTCTTTGGAAACAACATTTTAATTTCTAAACAGACTGATGTAAGGTGTTGTCCTCCCACCTGTCTTCTTCCTTCTCTTTCTCCTTTCC